ATTTTATCTATTCTTAATGTAAATTCAATAGAGACCGATTTTATTATGTGAATTTAGCTGCTTTAATTGGTTATTCATTTACTTTAAATATTTGACTTTCCTCAATTTACACATATAAATACATTTAAAACGTGTAATTCACACGTAACACGCCGTGATTAAAAAAAATAACTCATGCACGCGCATGCATTAAGGCTAGTATATATGAAGCCAACAAGCCCAATGAATAGTATTTTTTCGGTTTCACAAGCTTCGTAAAAAATATTTGGACAAAAATGCCCCTCAAACAAAAAACCTTCAAAAGCAATCCAAAATAATGCATCAAATGTGACAGGAGTATTTTCGTCATTTTAACAGTTTTTTTTAATAGGTATCTCACAATAGGCTAATAATAATGTGATTCAATCAGTTGTTCATTAAATATTATTTTCTCTATTTTTAAACATGTTCAAAACATCTTAAGAGGAGTATAATGCCTGTTATAAAAAAAAGTATTTTGCACGCGGATAATAATATGATTAAATTAGTTGTCAAATGATTGTTTTTTTTGTTTTTTAACAAACAATATTATCTACACTAAGGGGGAGGGGTGGGCTTAGCCACACAATGACTAGCAATAATGTGATTCAATCAGTTGTTTATTAAATATTATTTTATTTATTTTTAATGTAATTCTACAGAGACCGATTTTATTATGTGGATTCAGCTGATTTAATTGGTTTATGATGGGTTTCTTCTAACATGATCTAAGATTATTCATTTACTTCCTTTTGTCAATTTACACATATAAATACATTTAAAACGTGTAAATCGCATGTAGCACGCCGTGATTCAAAAAATACATTCTATACGCGTGCGAGCGCATGCATAAAGGCTAGTCTATCTTAAAGCCACTTGTCCCCTTCTAACCCAAAATGTTAGCAGCTTCCCTGAAGTGAAATCTTAATTGGGCAGCTCTATTCCACTAAAAACTTAATAATTGTTTAGGTGTAATAACAACAAGTGCCAAATTACTTAACTAAACACATATAACGTACCATACACGAGAGAAAACATCTACCACTTTCCAATTGATAAAAAACAAATTAAAAAAAAAACCTAGTCACATTAAGATGGTTTATTACACATGAAAGGTTTGATTTATTTTTTATTTTGTTTGCAAATTATTAGGTACGAGTCAAAGTTTATCAAGAAAATTGTTAAAGTGATTGGAGACAAGTTAAGTCGTACACTATTGAGTGTTGAACCAAAATTGATTGGAATCCAATTTCAAGTCGAACGCATCAATATGTGGTTACAAGATGGATCAAGTGATGTTGGTATACTTGTTGTGTATGGCATGTCTGGAGTAGGGAAGACAACCATTGCAAAACATGTTTACAATTCAAATTTTAGAAGCTTTGAAGGAAGTAGTTTCATTGAAAATATCAAAGAAAGAGCAGATCAACCAAATGGCTTAGTTCAAATACAAATGCAACTTCTTTCTGATATTTTGATCGGTAGAAAAGTGGAAATACAGACTATTAGTGAGGGAATAATTAAGATTGAAAGAGCCATAAGCTCTAGAAAAGTTCTACTTGTCCTTGATGATGTGGACCATATGGACCAATTGGATGCAGTACTAAAAATGAAAGATCGGTTTTATCCCGAAAGTAAGATACTTATAACAACTAGGCGTGAAAGATTGCTAAGAGCACATCAAGTGACAAAGGTGTACAAAGTTGAAACTTTGAATTACAATGAATCACTAGAGCTTTTCAGTTGGCATGCATTTGGCCAGGATCGTCCCATAGAAGATTACATGGAGCATTCAAAAATGGTAGTGCAACATAGCGGCGGACTTCCATTAGCTCTAAAAGTATTGGGTTCTTCTTTATCAGGGGAAAGTATAGATGTATGGGAAAGTGCATTGGAGAAGCTAAAAGTTATCCCTAATGGTGAAATCATGAATAAACTAAGAATAAGTTATGACAATTTACAAGATGACCATGACCAGAAATTATTCCTCCACATTGCTTGTTTCCTAATAGGAAGGGGCAAAAACTACACTGTTAGAATACTCGATGGATGTGATTTCTTTCCAATTGTTGGCATTCAAAATCTCATTGATAGATGCTTGGTGACAATTGATGGATACAACAACGTGCAAATGCATGACATGATCCGTGACATGGGAAGAGAAATTGTTCGCCATGAATCAGAAGAGTCTGGAAAACGTAGTAGATTATGGCGCCATAAGGATTCTTTCGAAGTACTGAGGGAAAAGAACGTAAGAAACATGCCTTTTATGTCTATATATGTATTTCTCCTTGTGAAAATTATCCATAATAATGTTTTAACTTTTTCTTTTCTTTTCTGTTAGGGTACACAAACAATTCAAGGTCTTGCCCTGGATATGCGTATGCATCTTGCAAACAGACCAATAAACACAAATGAGACCGTCTTGGAAACCAATGCATTTGAAAGGATGTGCAATTTACAACTACTCCATCTTAGTCATGTACGACTGGATGGATGTTATGCAGATTTTCCTACAAGATTAAGATGGTTGTGTTGGCTTCAATTTCCATTGGATTCTATACCTATTGATCTTCCTTTGGAGTGTCTAATTGTTCTTGAAATGCAACATAGTAGCTTAAGACAAGTCTGGAAAGGAACAAAAGTATGTTACTCTACGCATTTCAATTCATTTTCCTTATTTTGTTAGTTTTTTATTTGTTGACTAACTCCATGTGTTAAAATGAACTCCAATGTTTTCTTTAATTCGATAACTAATTTCTTATGTTAGATACTTATTTCATTGTTTTTTTTTCTTTTTCTTTTTTTCCTTTGTTTCCACAGTTTCTTCCATCGTTGAAGATCCTTGACGTCAGCCATTCCCATTCCCTCACTAAAATCATGGACTTCTCACTTTGCCCTAGTCTAGAAGAATTGATTCTTGTTGATTGCACCAGCCTAATTGATGTTCATGAGTCCATTGGAAACCTAGAGAGACTCGTGTACTTGAATACGAAGGATTGCAAGAATCTTAGGATGCTTCCGAAGAACATGTGCATGCTTAAATCACTTGAAAAACTCATTTTATCTGGCTGCTCAAATCTTGAAGAGTTTCCAGTGGAGATGATGAAGAAGATGGTGTCTTTGAAAGTTCTTGAAATAGATGGAATTCCAATAAGTGAATTGTGGCCAGAAAGAAGTTCAACTATCTTGAGTTCTTTTCCATGCTCTTTACTAGAGTTAAGTCTCATGGGGTGCAATCTTTATGATGATGCCTTTTGTAGGGATTTAAGCAGTCTATCCTCGTTGCGAAAACTAAAGTTAGGTGAGAATCCAATTTGCAGTCTGCCAGGTTTCATCAAAGGTTTGAGGAAGCTCGATAAACTCTCTTTCAAGGGTTGTAATAGACTCGAATCGCTTGTGGGGTTGCCGAAAGTACACCAAAGGATGAGTATAGCCGGATGCATATCATTAAGAAAAATAACACCTCTTTCCCCTGAGCCATGGTCTGCAACGTACAGGGTGGATAACAACTGGAATCTAGTTTACTGGCAGTACGAGTACAAGTTAGAGCCTATTGATAGAGTTGATGTGGAAATGATCAAACTTTTGGGCTTGTGCAACTTGGAATCCATGCCTACAATTCGAATGAACAGCCAATTATTCTCACATCCAAAAGTGAGCCCTGTCCAGGTGCGCCTCTCTCTCTCTCTCTCTCTCTCTCTCTCATGTCATGTATACAATGGGAAGTAAATGACTTACTAATGTTGTGATGATCATGGAAAATTCATAGGGACTATATCAATGTGGTATATTCAGCACATATTTTGTTGGGAATGAGGTTCCAGGCCGATTCAGCTATAAAAGTACCAAGTCCTCCATATCTTTTAGTGTCCCTTTACTCCCTTCTAGTCATAGAATCCGAGGCTTGAACATCTTTGCTACCTATGCAAACGAGGAGAATTCTAATTATCATGATGGTGGATGGGAATGGGTTTCAATCATAATCAAATTAAGTAATAAGAGCAAGGGTCTGAAGTGGATCTATTGCCCATTATTCTATGGTATCCCAGGTGGCGGAGAAGATATGATATGGTTGAGCCATTGGAAGATGGAGAATGAAACAATATTACAATGTGGAGATCAATTGGTGGTTTCAGTAATGACTGGACCAAATAAGTTGTTTCGGATAAAGGAGTTTGGTGTCGAGCTTATGCAAGAGCACCAGAATAATATGATGATAAGTACCCAACACAACACCAAATCAGATCCTAATTATCCATTTGTCATCGGGGGAGATTTGTCCATGTGGGAGCATATACCAAGAATATACTGCCTTGGTTTCGATGACGAAATTGTTAAAGAGAGATGGTTTAATCGCCTCATCATGGACACTGATGAAGAAGACACAGGTATGTCGTATTGTTGTATTGCAATGAATTATACTCCATCCAAACACTTCCAAGTCCGTCTGTATTCAATTCAAAAACATAAATATTATGTTATTTGTATGTTTTTCAGACAGAGAAGGGCAAGAGGATGAACCTGATTACATAATTGCAAGGACGAGAGCTGCCAGCAACAACTGCAGCCTCAGAGGCTGGAAGGTGCTCGTCACAGCTGCCGGATTATTTTTCACGCTTGCTCTAGTAGTTCGGTCCTCCATCTCCCAGAAAAAGAAGCGACAGTAGTCCACAAGCCATCCATGAGTTTGTAATTTTATTCGATAGAGACATCTTTGGGTTCCCTCCTTGTTTTCAAGATGTTTTCTGCCTTCAAAATATCGAAGTTTCAGATGTGTTCAACATCATCAAATATTGCATAAATATAGCATAAAATACATCCAACATTAGCGATACACAAGAATTTTTCTTCCCTGCCACTGATTGCATACAATCCTGTACTAGAGAAGATAAACAGATGGTTGTATACTAGCAGTAAATAATTGAAAAAAATGATTTTAAACATACAAGGGAAGGACGTATCTTTAGCAATATCAGGCAAGAATCAATTCATTGAATTGGGGGAAAATATTTCTGTAAATGTCAAATTTACAGATATTAATTGTCATTTACAACAAAATCATACTTCTTAAAGACTCGGCTCCCATTGAAAAATTGTATAAATTACATAAATATCAGTGCAACAGATATTATATTGAATAATATATCAAATAAATTAACAGCAGACAATTTCTTAGCCTGAGATTCAAGGACTATACAGCTGATTCAGCCTTGCATCGCTACTACACTACGGAAGCTGGTTTCTGCTTCTTCAACCCGAACAAATTATTGAGGTAAGAAAGCATAGGAGAAATGACCATGGTCTCTGGAGCCATGAAATTGACTATCTTCTCATAAACATTATACCTGCAAAAGCATAATGCAATAAGCCTTAAACAATCTAGCCTAGTTTGCTCAACATATGCTCCAAGATATTCCAAAACAAAATCACAGCAGTTTCACATAGGGAACCAAAGAATCTATTGATACCTTATCTTGCGACTATTAGAAACAATTTTCTTCTTCTTAGCATGCAACTTTTTCAAGGAATAAAATGATGTCTCAGCGGATAATCAAATAGTGAAAAATCAGAATCAATAAACAATAGAAGTTCAGGATCAATTGACTGGCTTGTTCCATTTTTAATGTTACAAAAACATAAAAACTTGAAGAATAAAAGTTCGGGATTGATTAGGTTCCAAGCCTACTATAAGCAGAGACAATAAAATGTCATTGACTTCCATAGCTGCAGATGCAGATTGTTTGAATAATGTCATGGCTCAGACTTAGTTACTTAAAGTTGGGACTGGCGTGACCTCAATGAGAACTAAGCACATACTTCACTACAATTCAGCAGACCCAAAGCTGATGTGAGAAGATTTACGTTAACAATTGAGTCGGTCCAAGCTCAACCTCGATGCTTTGTGTTTTGGGATAAGCTTAGGCAAGGCTGAGCTCAATCCATTCTTCTTGATTAACACTCTTACACTCTTAATGATAACTTAGTACCAACTTAATCTGACTAATTATAGTAACTGTTGTAGTGGAACTTTTGAAATTTGGGGAACCCTCACAATCATATGAAATCGAGGAAACTTGAAGCATTTCCTTAACGTTTGATTTGATAAAATTAAACTCTATCTCAGCTAATAGTACAGTTATAAGCTAAAGATACTTTATGACAATTTAAACGGTTATTAAAAACTTCAAACACAAAATGTGAAACACAAAGCATATCTACAAATCTTTCAAATATGGACAATTCTTAACGTGCGGAAAATGATAGATTATGCACAACAATGGAAAGCCAAATTGTATTACAAAATAACTATAATAGTTTGCACACACTATCCATTGCTTGAACAAAGGACGGGTTCTTCTCAAGTAAAGCCTGTAGTTTGCACACACTAACTAGGTCAGAATACGTTGCATTGACAGCCTAATTGGCTCATGCAGACAACCTCTCAGGTAAGAACGTAAATCTTAAAATGTCAAAAACCTAAAAAAAAAAAGGGGAAATGCAAAAGCGACCTGTGGTAATCCATGATTCCATGTGAACTTGAGAATGCTTTCTGAAGCAAGAATCTGAACTCAAGAGCTTTGTTCCACAGAGCCTTCAGAAAAATGAAAACAAAAGGCATTGAAAATGGGGAAGAATAAACATCGATCAAACAATAATTCACTATATAAATCATTTTTTTTCAACTTTAAGGAATGGCATAAAAAGAAGCTTTAAACAAGGAGCAATAATTTGATGTTGAAAAACAAAACCTATTTCATGGATATTACAAAAGTTATTATTTTGAACAACGCACCTTTTGGTTCTTCACTGCTTGACCTTTAAGATCTTTCTTTAAAATATCTCTACATGGGAAGAGAGAATAAACGAAGAACAAAATTAACTTCATATGTCAGCCTATATAACTCCATTTTGTGCTTTCATAGTAACTAAATTAAATAGATACTGAAAATTAGCCTTGAGCTAAGATGAAAATGGCACTAGTATTCAATTCCTATAGCTACACTCGCGGACTATTTACATTATTCAATGACTTCTGTAACCTAATATCAAATTTCGTCACCAACCTCCAACTGCTATGCATATTATCTCCTATAGTCGCATTATTTAGCTCTATGTCTTCATTCTAATGAAGCAATACAAGTTTATAATTAAAAATAAAAGGATTGTGAACAGAAGTCTCTTACTGCTCCTGATGACGAAGATTCATGTATTCTTTCTCGAGTTCTTCCATCTCGGCACCTTTATTATCGTTTTGCCCATCACCATTTTCCTCTTCCCCAACTTCTTCTCCATCTTCTTCCTCATTTTCTGATTCTTCTTCCTCCTCCTCGCCGACGTGCTCATCATCAAAGTCATCCTCTTCCTGCTCCATCTACATCACAAATCATCAACTAACAACAAAATCACCACAACAAACTGAATAATTACCGAAACCCAATAACAGAATTTACAAATCAAACTAACATTCAACTCATTGCTGTTGAAATCGCCATTTTCCTTGAACTCACTGTCGCTGTCAAGAGCCTTCCATCTCCATTGTGACGTATGAGCCCCTACAAATTCAAACACCCAAATATTATAGAATTTAATTCCACAAGGATTTAAGCTTTGATACAACTTCATTTCAAATATCCAAACCAATTTATGAATCCCAAACCTTTTGAAGCTGCAAGGAGAAAAAAGACAACGAGAGTTGAGAGAGGCACAGAGGAGTCTCAGAAGAAGCTGCAGGGTATGGGTTTTGGGGGTTTAAGCACTGACATGCAATTTACCAGGCTGGAATTATCCATTTCTTAAACCCCAACCCGTCTTCTAAAACAAGTCCCAAAATCTGTCGATTATTTTCCCCTTCCTAGACCAAAAAACATTGGGCCCTTAAATAAGCTTCATGGGCCAGTTTGGCCAATATTAAATTGAGCCAAGTCCGTCTCATTTGATTAGTACTTTGTTGCACATTCCACGAGAGCGACTTATTTACTACAATCTAGTGACATTTCTCTTTATTTGTAAATGATAGATTTTAGGTTCGACTGACTAATTCAATACTAAATTATGACGTCTGGCTCATTGTGCGGCTAGCTCGAACATTATACCTATTAAAGAAATGATAAAGACTTGCCTAAAATAGGGGTGACAGATTGTCGGATGTATCCTAAGCCAATTTTATAACAGTTTCCCTCCAATCTCTCAACTATGGCTAGATGTCTTTTGTTTGTGGATTTGGAATACAATTGACCTAGCACGCTTGTTTCATATTAGTCTTTCTTGCATTCAACACAAAACATCATAGTTTTCATAAAGTGAGCACCACATATAGGGGTTGTAGACATGCTCGAAATAATTTGAATTAAGCTCAGCTTTTTAGTGAAATGAGTTGAGCTAAAAAAAATGCTAGACTCATTAAAAAAAAAAAGAGTCAATATGGATTTTTGGTATTTTCAGCTCATAAAGCTAGTGAACAGCTCATTTCTTTCATGAGATAGCTCGACTTGTTCGTTAAAGCTTGTCTCATAAATACTCTCTCTCTCTCTCTCTCTCTCTAGAAATACTCCTCTTTGAAAATGATTTAAATAATTAGATAAGCTCATGTTCTGAGTTGCCTCATTATCTAAAGTGTGAAGAACAAATTTTTGGAACAGGCGATCAATCAAGTGAGTGATAGGTAGGAGTAGAAAGAAGCAATGCGTAGCAGCAGAGTACAACAAGAGGAATTGTTGTTCCGGTCAATCAATTGGCATGCCTAACCGATCGATCGGTTTGGCTCTTTTGTGTTTTTTGTTCCGCGTTTTCAAAGCCTATTTAGAGTAGGTTGTGGGTTTTATTGGGATTCCTTTCTTGTAACTAAAGCCATTACATATAATTAGGGCTTTATTCTTTGCACGAAAGACATAAGAATTACAAGGGAATCATTTTGAGAGATTCTGTCGCTAAACCACTATAATTCTTTATGTCCTTTTCCTTTGTTTACTTTTTGTTTGGTGTTTTTGTTGTTTATTTATTGTTCTTGTTTAGGTGATCGTATGAGTTATCATAGTCCATTGAAAACAAAGACTGCTGATCAAATTCAAGTTCATTTCTATATAATCCACACCATCTAAAATGATAAAGATACAGAATGCACGCAAAGAAAGAACCAGAACTACGTAACCAGTCAAATTCAAGTTCATTTCTATAACTCAAGATACTTACTTTTGTTCTCCGTTTGGGAAAATTCTCGACCGGTTTAACTGAAAACCCTCTAGGATACTCATGTGTACTCTATATTTGGTTAAAGAACTTCCAATAGTTTTAAGCGCATTGAATCATGCAGCTACTACCAACCGTTAACGAGATCCATGTCATATACACAAAACAAAGATGCACAAAACCTTCTAGCAAAACACAGTTCATTATCTACATAAATTTCAAATTTCAATTCAATAGATAACGTAAAATACTCCAAACCAAAATCAGATAGCATTCATAAAGCATAACTACTTACTTCATGAGAATGTCATAGTACTCGGGATCCAAAGAAGAAAACATTGCATCCACATCTTTTATAGCCATGATAGCTCTATGCACCATTATCCAATTTGCAGACTGCAAAACTCAAAAAAATCAATCTCATCACTTTCCTTCATTCCACACCAAACAGACCAATTGAATTGTAATTAAAAACTCGAAAAACGATAAGAAAAGAAGAATAAAGTTATAAACTTGCAATTCAATTTTCTATTCCATCGACTGATTTTCTCGGCAAACAAACAGAAGATTAGCAAAAGAGAAAAGACAAACCTTGCAGCGCTTGTCTTTGGTGCTGAGACGCGAGCCTTCATGAGTAGTTTTTAGAGCTTCGACTACCTTGTACCTAGATGAAAAACGGATTAAACATTTTTGGGGGAATTATCAAATCATTAAGGGGTTTTACAGAAAATTGTATGTAGAAAAGGGAAAATGATTTGGAGTGATACTGTTTGCGTAAGCTCTCGATCTTTCGAGATTTTTGTTCGATTATGTTCTCTCTCTCTCTCTCTCTCAAGGATTTGGTTACGCTCTCGATCTTTCGAGATTTTTGTTCGATTCTGTTCTCTCACTCTCTCTCTCCCTCCCTCCCTCCCTCTGATTTTCTCACCTGGCAATTGGAAAAGACTTGAGGAAACATGTTCCCGAGAAAGTGACACGACAGGTGGACCAAACTGTATATTGGGCTGGATCCTAGGTCGGTCCAAAGATAGCCTTGAATTCAGACTGTTTGATTGTCTAAATTTTTGTTAAATTAGTAAATAAATAGTGTGAAAAATTATTTTGTTACTCAGTTTAAATTTTTTATCTTCAACAACGCTTTTATCTTGTCAAACTTTAAATATTTTATTATTAACAATTCAAATTCAACCAACTCATTTTCTAAAAGAGTCCTATCTGTCTTCATTTTCTTCTTGCTCAAGATTTCACTTTTGAGTTTTATTTTATTTTTTAATATTTAGCTTATGAACAGTTGCTTTGTAAATTTAAGGCGTGACTGATCATTTTGCTATAATAGTGACTCTTTTGTAGAGTTTGTTGGAGATGTGTTTTTTTTTATTTAAATTTGACTATTTAAAATAGAATTTTGGTTATTTTACAGCATTTTCTAAAAATGCACTTAGTAACTTGAAGTGAATTTGGCTTAAGTAGCATGGTCTTTTTTAGAGGGGTGTATTAATTTAGACTCAATCAGCTATACAAAATGTTGAAGAAAAAATACCTACTTATCCATGTCACCAACTCAAAGAATTTAAAATTTAAATTAAATTTACATTTTCGTTTCTTTTTTTTATATTTTACCCTTATTTACAAAATAAATTTCCTATTTTTATGCATCTTTTACTCTTATAATTTGAAATCAAAAGATATTAAAATAAAATAATACCTTTTTTTTTCAAAAAAAAAAAAAAAAAAAAAAAAACCTTATCAATAGCACAAATCCTATATGAAATTTAACTATTAGAACAAATTCTAAAAATATTATATAAGTATACAAATAAAAATATCCATAAAAAATTAAAAATATTTTATTTTTTGTTTTGTCAAAAAAAAAAAAAACTTTATCAATAGGAACATTTTTATACATTAAAAATATCCCTTAAAGAGTCAGTAAAACACATATGCTTTGATCAGTGTTGTTCCTTTCACGTCTAAAAAAAACAAAAAGCAACCAATGAAACTAAATAACAATTTAATTTAATGTTAAATGATTTTGGTTCGCATATACATGCAAAAATTCCAATTTCATTAGGTAGTGATTTGTTTCTGTCTATTGATTCTTTTTAAATTTATTCAATCGTACGACTCGATATAACGAAATGAGCATTGGAAGAAAAACAGAATGTGAAAAATAAAGTATCTTTCATTGTCCCGTACAAGAAGGAAATAAAAAATACAAACTAAAAAAAAGCTTAAAAAGCATAAGAGAAAAACTCTTCCTCGATGTGTATGATCACATTTGTATGCCCATTACTCATGTAGTTTGCATTGCTATTTGCTTAGGTGCTCAATGAGCTTTGTGTTGCACCAAATTGCTTTTGTTTCAATCAAGACGGTGTCGTTTACATTGTTCCACCAAATTGCTTTCGTTTTGTTCTTTAATAAAATGACCTCCAAGCCCCTACAGATAAGATCACCACTCCACAAAATCCCGTAAATCAAAACAAAACCCAAGGTCAATATCGTCATTCTAACCAAAGGGTCATAATCATCGACACTCCACTTCTTAAATTCCTTTCCCCTCTCCCCCCACTCTTTTCCACTCTTTCTTCTTCCTTGCTTTCAAAGTCTTCGTTTGCTTCACACAAAATCCAAAACCTCCGCAGAAGCTCAACTGCTCATCAATGGCGGACTCCATCCCCTGCAGAAAGCCCCACTTCCCATTCTCCGATCCAAACCCAGAAGCTCACCAAAACCCGATTCAAGACGGTAAGTCCTACACCATGCATTTTCTCCTTAAAGCTCTAATCTTTGCCATTTTCATTGTTGTTCTTCCACTTTTCCCCTTACAAGCTCCCGAATTTATCAACCACACGATCCTCACCAAGTCCTGGGAGCTCATTCACGTTATCTTCGTCGGCATTGCCGTGTCCTACGGCTTGTTCAGCAGAAGAAATAGTGCTGAAATGGGGTTTGAGAATAGCTCAAATGTAGGTACTTCTGAGTCTTATATGCCTACAATATTTCCCGTTTCGTCGAATTTCGACAGCGGGTATGAACACCCATGTGGGTATGGTGAGAAAAGTGAAGGTGAGAGTTGGAATTCTGGGTATTTTGTGGGTAACCCTGTTGCTGCTGTGGCTCAATCTTGTCATGAAAGCAATGTTTTTTATGCCCACTGCAAACCCAGTTTGGGGATTTGTGAAAGTGGGTGTGAAAATTCATGTGGGTATAAAGAGAAAAATGTTACTCAAGCTTGGAATTCTCAGTATTGTCAGGGTGAATCAATGGTGTTTGTGGCTCAACCAAATTATGGTCTTGATGAATGGGGAAAACCCAGATCAATGGTTGATAATCAGCCGTTAGGATTGCCGGTTCGGAGTTTGAAACCAAGGGTGCAAAACCAGGATAGTTTTGAGTTTGTTGCTAGGAGTGAGTTCAGTTTAGGTTCTAAGGGCTCTTTTAATAGCTCTGATAGGGTTAGTAATGGGGATTTTGGTGATTTGGGTGCTATAAATTTAAAACAGAAGTTCAATGAAGCTGCCACATCACCTTCCCCGGTTCATTGGCGTTCGCATTCTGCAAGGATGGAAAGGGGGAAAAGAGTAGGTAGTAATGCTCGTCCTTCGCGTTTGAGGCCACTCTCAGTTGATGAAACTCAGTTTGAATCAATGAAAACTCGGTCTTTCCAGTCCACATTGTCCTTTACTTCTGAGTCTTCTTCTCAAACTAGTTCTCTGTCTTCTTCCCCAAAGGAAGACTCTTTCACGCACTCCATGTCTTCGGAGGTGCTTAACTCGAAGGTGGAGAATGTGAAGAAAAGAAAGAGTCCTCATTCTCAAGGGTCGTCTTCTCCTTCAGTGAGTGCGTTGCATTCGCGGGGCTACAGCATTGGTTCTTTCCATGAGGAGGACTTGAGGAGAAGCTCCGACAATTACTTGAAGGATTTGAGTGGGAGCGGAAGCAGAAGCAGAAGTGGAAGTGGAAACGGAAGCGGAAGTGAGGAGGAGCAATTGGGAAGCAAAGAGTTGGGGCAAGGTTTTTTGGGATTGAATACTAAACCTGCAAGCCTCACTAAATCTGTATCAAGGGGAAAATCTGTTAGAACGATCAGAGGTAGTAGATTTGCCACTCATGAAAAAGTTGAGAAGATGTGTGACATTGGTGAGTTTATATCTATGAGAAAAGATATGATGCAAAATGGAGTAACCAACACGAAAAATCTTGGAAATGGAAAGAGTAAGCATGATCTTGGCAATCCTTTTCACATGCCAAAGCTAGAATTTCCGAAACGTGAGAAGAAGGAGATGCGAGAAGTTCGTGGCAATGCAGCTGCAGAGTTTGAAGAAGAAGAGTTGGAAAGTGAGGCAGAAAACTTTCAATTGAGCTCGGATGATGAACGTGAAGATGATGCTCTTGCCACTGCTCCTGCGGCTACAAGTAGCAACTCTCTGAATGTTGGAGGAGCAGACTCAGAGGTTGATAAGAAGGCGGGCGAGTTCATAGCGAAATTTAGAGAGCAGATTAGGCGTCAAAAAGTGGCATCAATGGACAGATCAAGAGGGCAACACATATCTGCTAATTCCTTTGGGCGATGATCATATAATTATGAATTATGATGCTCAAAGTATATTTTCTATTTATTTATTTTATACATTTAATAAAACATTTGGTGTCTGTTGTACCAGGTAAATGTTTAGAAGGCATTTTCAATCATACAAATTTACTACGGTTGGTGTTATATTTTGGAAAGAGCAATGCTAGGGAGATCACAAAAACATGTTTTGACTGCCGACAGCCGAAGCCACGGTTACATTTGGCTTCATTTTTCAATTTTCGTGTGGCGTCCAATTATGAATTATACAAAATAAATAAGGTTGATATTTATTCGTTGGTAGAATCATGATTACCTATGGATTGATTGGAATACAACATTTCGGGTGCATAGATAAATGCTCGTATCCATGTGAGCTACAAGTTTCTTGTACTTTAAACTAGAGTTCAATGAACGATGCCTAAGTGCACCTCCATATGTGCTCAGGGAATTTTTACAGCCCGCATGTCATAATCAAAACTGTTTATTTCTAAATCACTATTTATATAATCATGATATGTGAAAGACCAATCAAATTGAAGATTGTTTAGTATCTTGTGTATTGAACAAATTGAAGATTTTCGGTAACTAAATCCGTGTAATGAACTTGAAATGCGTTTTTGGTTGGGCTGAATCCGAAGACACATTTGGATTGAATTGGACCCCAAAAGCAGTAAGATGGGTCTGTCATCTGTGTCAGCTTTGACCCCTCCAGGCAAATAATGAAGAACCTTGAGTGGAGGAAATGATATTACAAAAACCATTGGGGAGTTAAATGATACTATTTATTTGGTTCTTGCCAGCAAACTGAACAGATAACGTCACCAAATAACGGTTTCTTTTTTGCTGTGTGTTGGTCGGGTTGTGGACGGTTTGTAATTTTCAGCGAGTCTCGTGACTTTTCAGTTGCACATGCTATACTAATTGATAGCATGCAAAATTCTAAAGATTTCAGAGAATGAATCAACAATGTATATCGAGTTGAAACTCTCCTCGTATCTAGCCATAAATACGTGTTAAAATTCAAACAAATCCAAACTTGTACATGTATAAGAAGCGATGAGAAAAAAGACGTAAAAAAAAAAAGAGATGATTTGTAAACTATATTATATAATTTTATGTATTTAAACTGAAAGAATTCAGATCAGTAACTAAATATACGGTGGGCTACATTCAAAAATCAATAAAAATTACATATAAACTGCTATTTTACACCGAAAGCTACTTGAGCTATAGCCCAGGGTACACGTGGCTCCGCCAGTGAGGGTGAGAGGTTTTGAACTCATCACCCCTCGAGCCAAATGGTGACTTGGAAAATAAACGGTTCTGGGTGTGTCTAGAAT